CCTGCCCGTGGCCGGCGGCAGCACCAGCAGCTTCCTGAGCTCGCCCTCCGAGTCTTCTGGCTACGTCACGCTGCACTCGGACTCGCTCGGCTCTGCCACCTAGGGGCGCCCGCGGGGCCAAAGCACCAAAGAAGCGACCTGTCCCCGCAGGGCGCAGGGCAGGGCCGCGCTGAGCCCTCCGACGGCACCTGGACGAGTGCCGGCCACCCCCGGGTGGCAGGGTGTAGCATTGTCGCCTGGAGAAGCGGGAATTGCCTAGAGGGGCGACGGATGCCCTGGAGGACTGCGCCGGGCACTTCATCTCTGGGGTAGGGTGAGGCTGGGCCTGGGTAAAGGCGGGCTCTACACGTGGGCTGGGGAGGAGCCCCAGGACACGGCCACCACCAGATGGGACAAAGGTGGGCTCTGCAGGATGGGGAGCCACCCCGGACTGCCCGGCTTTCCACTGCACTAGAAGTGTCCCACCTCAGGGGGTGGGGTACAGAGGGTCTCTAAGCACAGGGGTCTTCAGAGCCCAAACAAGTTCTCAGAGCAGGTGTCCCTGCTAACCCGTTCTGCCTCTGTTTCCCCATCTGTGATGAGCAGGTGACCATATTAACTCTCAGGACTGAAGAAGTCTGCTGGTCCAAGTGCTCTGACCACTGAGTGGACAGGGCATGAGAGGTAGTTTAGGGCCCTCTGTGGCCCCAGGCCGGAGGCTTCCTACTCTCAGTGTCCCTGGCCCCCTTGGGAACTCACTCCACGCCCCCAGCTAAAGCACACCACTTGGACATCGTGGCCATCAGCACTACACCCGCCTCGACCACTGCTAACTGTCCTCACTTGCATCAATTTTCATTGCCTGTCCCCACCCCGTGGGCCATCTCTGTGATTCCCACCGTGAAGGTTGTGGGTACATGATGGGAAGGACTGAAGCAAAGGGGGAGGTGGGCTTCCTTATTCTGGTGTCCACCCCCAGCCTCATCCCCCACCCTACAGGTCTGGCCTACAGCCTCCCAGGTTCTGGGTTTAAGGCCTGGTTTCTGAGAAGGGTCCTCCCCCACCATGTGGACAGGACTCTTCTTTGCTCTCCCTCCTGGCAGACCCCTTGTGGGCCTGGACTTTGGCATGGGCCCTGGGGAGGAGACTGCTGGGTCTTCTGTTGGGGGAAGCCCCTAGACACAGGAACAGATCTAACCTTGAGTTGGAGGGACGGGCAAGTGCAGAGGCTGTCTGGTCCTGGCCCCTGCCTTCATGGAGTGGCCCCAAAACATGAAACTCTGGAGCAGGCCCAGGGCCTGCACACTGTTCCCCCCTGCTCTGCCTCTGCCCTCCAGTGGCTAAGCCTTTCTCTTCACTCCCCAGACCGGGTCCCAGCCCCAGAAGAGGCCAGGGAGGAAGATGTACTGTCTGGCTTCACCTCACCTTCAGAGGTCCCTGTAGTTCCTGCCTGTGGGGTGAACTTGGGGATGAGTTGGCCACGGGCGAGCAATGTAGGGGACTGCTGTTCAGCCCAGCCAGCACTGCTGTGCCTTCAAGGACCACCATGTCATGAGGTCATCAGCTAGCCACTCTTCCCCCTCAGGCTGGCCCATTTGTCACCTTGGGTTTTCACTCATATCCAATGGCAATACTTGCAGGGGACGTGGTACCCCGAAGTCCCTCTAGTCCTGGTTTTTACAAAAACAAAGGGGAGGGAGGACCCGAAGTGGAGGATCCTGGGACTCCCTCTCACACTTTGTGCAGCCGCCTCCCCGGGCCCATTTGCTGCGTTGATGAGCAGCTTGACCCTGGGCTTGGTGGGAAGGGAGTTATGTCTTCATACAACCACTCAGCCCAAAGCCAGGGATCCGTTTGTAGGTTTTTGGGTCTTTTTCAACTAAGCATTTCTCTTCTGTACATAATCCAATAAAAACTTCCTATGATTTGCATCTAGCATTTCTAGTCCAGTTTCATGGAAGCAACTTTCTAGAACCGAACAGCACCCCTGGCCAGCTGCTCCCAAAAGTCTCTCCCTTTGGGTCCCAAATTCCTCTACTAGGGCGCCACTTTTGGATTGGGCTTCCCATTTTTTCTGGTATGTGCTGTGACCCCACACAGAGAGTTTGGGGGACCCAGAGCCCTGGAGTGGGCACCAAGGCCCTAATAGGAGAAGCCCCTACCCCGCCGATGGCTTCAGGGGCCGCTAGTCCCTGGGAGGTTGATTGGAGAGGGCCAGAAGGGCAGGGCAGTTGGAATTTGGAGGCTCCGCCCTAGGTCTGCGGTGCGCGATCGCCACCTGGTGGCCAGAGGTGGTATTAACGCCACCACCCACATTCAGGACTGTGGGAAGCCGAGACCTGAGAAGCCGCCCCCAAACCGCCACAGCCCCGACCTCTCCCCCAACCTGCGCTCCGGAGAGCCCGCTGGGTGGGGTGGGGGAGCCTGGCCGCTCTCTACCCGCAATTTGACCAGTATGGGTTTAGCATAAGATCAAGACAGGGGCAGCCAAAAGTAAATGTTTTATACAAAGTTGATATTTGTAGTTCAAAAAGATGCACTTAAGGAGGCATCTTAGGCTAAATAAGAACCTTGGTAGTCTCTTTATACCCATTTCACAGGTTCGCACTGTTTTTATTCTGAATTTGAAGCTGGTGGGAGGAGGTGCCGAAATCTTCCTGGGCACAGCGCAAGAACCCCGTCCCTTCCCCCACCCCCAGGCACCTCCTTGCGTGTCCGGATCCCCCAAACAGGTGTACAGCGCTCCGAAGGCTGTCGAGGGTCGTGGGCTCCCAGGCGGCCCCAGAAATCCGGTGGCAGGGTCTCTGCAGAGCCAGGACCAGGGTCTTTACCGAGTGGGAAAGGGTGAACTCTCCCCCGAGAGGAGCCAGGCTTCACTCCAGCAGCCCTCAAACTGGCAAGACAGTGCGCGCCCCCTGCCCCCAAGAGTCGCGCGAGCGCCCCCCCTCGCCCCCTCCAGCCATGAGAGCCGCGGGGGCAGAGCGTCGGGTGGGCGAGGAGGAGGGAGGAGCATCTCGCTTGCCAAGGCCAGAGCTCCAAGCGGGCTGCGGGGCAGGGGCAGTTCTGCGCGGTGCTTCTGAGGCGCGAGCCCTGGAACCTCGAGCCCGGGGCTGGGGTGCCGCGCTGCGTGCGGAGGGGGAGGGGATGCGTGGAAAACGAGAAGGCCCAGGGTGGGGGTGGGCTGGGCCCCCCCCTTGGGGCGGGCCTGGCGTGCTTTGTGCCGGTGGGAACCCGGCGTCCCCGGAAGGTTGAATGGGCCTGGGCGGGGCAGCGATTCTCCTCGCTGCAAGCGGTCTGCTCTGCGCCACTGCCGACTGCGACCTTCCCACCACCGCGAGGCTGCGGGGAGGGGGCGAGGGCGGACTGCCAGCTCTGGGCCCTGGGAAAGAGGCGTAGCCCAGGATACCCCGCCCCCGCC